GTTGATTGAATTTGTGTTTAAGGAATTCCAATATGAAATCAGATCACATTAATTCTAAATGCATATGGGTATATTTGTATATGGTCTATGCACTGATTTGTAAGTTTTTAAAGGAGATACACTCTATTACTAGTAAATCTGGTTGGTCTTGGTAAATGAGCTCCATGTTGCTTGGGCGTTTGCTCTGCTTCACCTGAACTGCCCCTTCAGCGTTCCTTCTGCAGGACACACGCTTTCTTTTGACTGTGTCTGGCAGTGCTTTCCCATATTGTAACTTCGGTTAAGATTGTGTCCTTTTTCTATTTTTATTTTTAAATATAAAGGTTAGTCTAGGATGCAGTGGCTCATGCCTGTAATCCCAGCACTTTGGGAGGCCAAGGTGGGCAAATTACTTGAGGCCAAGAGTTCAAGATCAGCCTGGCCAACATGGTGAAACCCTATCTCTACTAAAAATACAAATATATATATATATATATATATATATTTTAGCCGGGCATGGTGGCACGCCCCTGTAATCCCAGCCACTCAGGAGGCTGAGGCAGGAGAATCCCTTGAACCTGGGAGGTGGAGGTTGCAGTGAGCTGAAATTGGGCCACTGTACTCCAGCCTGGATGACAGAGTGAGACTCCATGTAAAAAAACAAAAACCATATATAGATGGATTAGGTTTATTTTTCTTATAATTTTTTAGATTTATTTTTCTCATTAATATTGCAGTTTGGCAGTAATTTCTTTAAGGACAGTGCCGTCTTTACCCTGCTATTTAAAAATCTGACTTCATTTTCTATTTTTAAAACTCTTGCTTTTATTTATTACAAAATTAATTTATTTCTTTTAAATTCAAGCAGTAGTAGATGTATAAAGTAAAAATACAAAAGTACCTCTGTTTTCATCCCCCAACTCCATCATTGCTAAAAGTAACCATCTAAATTATGTCAATATTTTTTCTGATTCTTCCTATATATGTAAAACACTGATGTGTATATATATGTATATAATTTTTATAAAATGAGAATAAGAGTTCTTACATCTAGTTTTTTAAAGCATGTCTTTAGCTTGTTTCTAAGACTATTTTTTCTCTTTCATTTTGGACTTTTTTGCAGTTTTATCGCAAAGAATGATGTATGTATATGACTGACAAGATTTTGGAATTTATTGAGATTTTTCTCTTTGATAAAACATATAGTCAATTTTTGTAACTATTCTATAGATATTTTGGGATAAAAATATAGAGTGAATGAGGTAAAAGTGTACTTCTGTCTCATATTTATTCTCATTTCCATCTGCTAAATCAATACTTTGTTCTTCAAATCTTTCCCTTTTGTATTTTTTTTGTTGTTGTCTGCTCTCTCAAACTTCGAGAAAGGTGTGTTAAAATCTCCACATTTTGATTATTGTTATATCAATGACATATTAGATTTAGAGATTAACATTAATATTATTCCCCACCTATACTTTTAAATATGTGTCTGAATTGTTTTTTCATACACTTTTTTGTTGTTGTTGTTGGTTCATTTATTTTTATTTTTATTTTTTATTTTATTTTTTTTCTCTTTTTTTTCCCCATTTATTTTATTGCATTTTAGGTTTTGGGGTTCATGTGAAGAACATGCAAGATTGTTGCATAGGTACACACGTGGCAGTGTGATTTGCTGCCTTCCTCCCCATCACCTACATCTGGCATCTCTCCCCTTGCTATCTCTCCCCAGCTCCCCACCCCCCACCATCCCTCCCCTATTTCCCCCCGACTGAACCCAGTGTGTAGTACTCCCCTCCCTGTGTCCATGTATTGAAATCAAAAATATGTGATGTGTACAATTCATGGCTCTACATCTTGATGACTTCTCACAAATTGTACATCCTATGGCCTCCTTTATTTCTCAAGCCAGTTTAGACTAAGCCCTGAGTCTTCTGATTTCCATATATACCCTATGAGATTAATATTGTTACATTTATTTTACAGAGAAAGTAATAGAACCAGAAAGTTGAATGACGTGCTCAAAGTTATACAAGCCAGTCAGGATATTTTCACTCCAAGCTAAAAAGTTCTTGTGTGTGTGGTAGGGGGTGAGGGGGAATCCAGGCTTTCTACAAAGCATCTTTAATCTGCTTGCCATGTCTTTCACCATTGCACAAACTGTGCATCGTATCCATGTGAATCCTCTAGCCCTAGGTCACCTGCCTTTGCTTACAGCCTCACTTCACCCCTCCCTTCTTTCCCTATTGATGACATTCATTCAGCCTTTGCTCCCGCCTCCTACTGGGAGGTGTCTTGGTGGAATTGAGTCTCTTGTGGGAAGAGGTGCTCATTCCCCATAGACATATGAAGGAGTGATGCTCCACGTTTGTGCTCTTGAGCTTTCTCAACTGAGAGGCCAAATTTAAGCCTCTTTAGTTATCACAGAAAAATACAGGAAGGTCTCTATGAAGTGATTTCATGTTCTCCAGGGAGGTATTCTCCAGGGCATATAATTCTATGCCATAAAATGTTATGGAATAAATATGCTGAATCACTTTGTTGTATTTATGAATAGGTGGCTTTTGACTACAGGGTAATCTTCTGATTAAGTAGTATGAAAGAGACAGAGTCAACAGATTGGAAAGTGCAGATTCTGCTCCTGTGCCTTTTGGTGGGTCTTGTGTTTATAGTTATCCTCATTGATAGTTGGAGATGTTGTTGAAGGGATGGCTCAGTGCTTAGGAGTCACTAGGCTCAGCTGAAACATTTGGATCAGTAGACTTTTTTGGTCTGATGCTAGTCAATTTCTTTTCATTTTCAGAGAAAAGTTCAGGCAATAAGTAGAAGTGTAAGTGCTTTGCATGCGTAAATCATCATACTCTGGAAGTTTGCAACTAGAAGACAGCTTGGTCAGTGAGTCCAACAGTTACCTCTTTCCACTGACAGGCTGAAGCCTTGGGAAGGGAATGATCTACGTAAATATTACTTGTCAGTGATTTATCCAGGACGCCATGAAGGTCTTCTAAGGTATAAACATTTTCTATTTTTTATAGCATTCTCTAAATTTTCTAATTTTTAAAACCAATCTACTTTAACAGAGTTGGAACTGAATACATGTTGTTTTTTTGCCATGAGAAATGTATTTTAAATATTTGGCCTTGTAGAATCTGTTTTAATAATTGCAGGAGGTTTTTTGACATCCACAATACAATACAATTATTGTTGTTATAGACAGTCATTTGATTTTAATACATGATGATGGACGAATTCAGATGTAAAGCAACTTGTCTTCTCCAATCTGCTAGTGTCCTACAGATCTACACTCAAGACAACATTGTATGTCTTCAACTTGCTGTGTCCATCTGTCTTCCCGGCTTCCTCATCTCTTACAGTGAATTTCCTCTGGTTTTCAAAACATCACACAAAGGGCAGTAGGCCTCCATCCTAGTTTTATGGTGTCATCAAGTGCCTTCTGACGAGTGAGTCAGTCTTCCTCCTCCTGCCATCTTCCTCCCACGGAATGGGCTTCCATTCATGACATCCTGTGATTATGTTTGTTCATCCTCCCTCCCCTTTCAAATGTCATCATTCCCTCACTTAAATTTCTACAGCACATGTTATTAATTCCCAATTGTGTTGTGTGCTGACTTCTTTTAGGCACTCTATTTCTTAAACATAGAGTCTAGATTTTTCTAATTTTAAAATACATTTATTCTAGAAATGTTGGTTTAACGCCTATTGTGAACCAGGGAGTGTTGCAGGCACTGTGTATAGACCACAGAAGCTAAAAAAATTTTTGCCTTCTGGGAGCTAAGCTCTAGTGAGGGGTGTGTGTGTGTGTGTGTGTGTGTGTGTGTGTATGTATATATGTAAAATACATAAAGTATTATATAAAATATATAAAATAGTAACCTATTTATATTTATATAAATCTATATAATATATTTTATACATATTCCTTTAAAAAGGATATATAGATAATATATTATATTCTATGCCATATAATGTTATGAAATCAATATGCTGAATCACTCACATGTGTATATGTGTGTGCATATCTGTATATACATCTATATCTATATGCAGTTTATGCAGCATACTAGTTAAGGGGTTAGAAGCTATTTTATGTGCTGTGCTTAGCTCTCTGTTGAGCTCTGGATTCACATGTATTCCTGAGGATGCAGAGTCTAGAAAATGGTAGCTGGTTAATTAATGATCATTGAATAATTAATGATTAAATGAATTTTTTCTTTTCATGACAAGTATAGTGGGAAGAGAGAAGAGAGGAAGGAGAGAGAGTGAAGTTTTTTAAGTTACACAATTACTCCTCAGATGGTTTTTTTCTTAAGTCATCATGGTCAGAAGGATGGACCTTGGAGATCTGGCCCCAAAAGTTTCACATCCAGGTAAATCCCAATATAATTGACAAGATCCCGGATGGGCAGAAATTTGTAAGCATTAAGCCAATTCACATAGTCTATAGGTCACCTAATATGGTTGCATTGAAAATGCAATCCCCCTCTGTGTTTCTACAGAACATTTTTATCTTTATCCAAGTCATATATAGGCACTTTGAATCTAATTAATATTTTAAATAAGTTTATATCAAATTTGCTGTAACACTGGATTATTAAGTTATTATCAAATTTGTTGGGATATCTTTTTTAATCTATGACTTTTTATATTTTGTTTTTGTGGTCTTAAGTTTTGAATTTATGTAAAATTCAGTAAAATGAAAAACACTTGTAGCAATGCTATAGGATTGGGACCTAAGGTATAAAGTATTTATATTTCCTTTAAGGCTATGTTTAATTTTCAAATTACATGGTGTACAGTTGAAATAGAACTTTGATATTATTTTGTACTTTTCAGACAAGGTCTCTGAGCCAGAACTCTTCATTTCTATTTTTGTATTTGGAATATAATTCAAGTATTTGGTCATTGCCTAAAATTGCCAAAGAAAATGTCTGTCAGGATAGGCTCCTCTTTTCATCTTCTGCCAGAATTTCTGAGGTGAATGCATACTGGAACTTTTAGTTAATGGACTGTGGCTTTATTCTTTGTATACTATGTTCATAAAATCAATGTATGACTTCACTACTGAAAATGAAAAGACAAAATCAAAGCTCTGTGGTTGAATTCATTCTCTTGGGCTTTTCTAACTTTCCTGAGCTCCAGGGGCAGCTCTTTGGGGTTTTCCTGATTATCTACCTGGTGACCCTGATGGGAAATGCCATCATTACAGTCATCATCTCCCTGGACCACAGCCTCCACGTTCCCATGTACCTGTTTCTCCTGAACTTATCTGTGGTGGACCTGAGTTTCAGTGCAGTCATTATGCCTGAAATGCTGGTGGTCCTCTCTACTGAGAAAACCATGATTTCTTTTGTGGGCTGTTTTGCACAGATGTATTTCATCCTTCTTTTTGGTGGGGCTGAATGTTTTCTCCTGGGAGCAATGGCTTATGACCGATTTGCTGCAATTTGCCATCCTCTCAACTACCCAATGATTATGAATAAAAGAGTTTTTATGAAATTAGTTGTATTTTCATGGGCCTTAGGTTTTATGTTAGGTACTGTACAAACATCATGGGTATCTAGTTTTCCCTTTTGTGGCCTTAATGAAATCAACCACATATCTTGTGAAACCCCAGCAGTGTTAGAACTTGCATGTGCAGACACGTTTTTGTTTGAAATCTATGCATTCACAGGCACCTTTTTGATTATTTTGGTTCCTTTCTTGTTGATCCTCTTGTCTTACATTCGAGTCCTGTTTGCCATCCTGAAGATGCCCTCAACTATTGGGAGACAAAAGGCCTTTTCCACCTGTGCCTCTCACCTCACATCTGTGACCCTCTTCTATGGCACAGCCAGTATGACTTATTTACAACCCAAATCCGGCTACTCACCAGAAACCAAGAAACTGATGTCACTGTCATACTCACTTCTGACACCTCTGCTGAATCCGCTTATCTACAGCTTGCGAAATAGTGAGATGAAGAGGGCTTTGATGAAGTTATGGCGAAGGCGAGTGGTTTTACACACGGTCTGACTGTTGAGAAGTCATGTAAGATTTAGTCACTGCCTGACTGTACTCAATCTAAATTTAATAAATGGTGAAAAAGTTTGCATTTTTTTTGGCATAAGTTTGACTAAGTTGTTGAGTTCTCCAAGTTTGATTATACATCAGGAGCATCTTCATATGTTAATAGTTTTAGTTTTTTTCACAGATGCATAATATTCCTTCATATTGAGTATAATACAGTTTCAACAATTTGTTTGCAATAGACCTACTAATGATTATATTTTTGTCACAAAAGAGAATAGTAAAACAAATAATCTGTTTTTATATACTCATAAATTCTGGTGATTTAATTTCTACAGAATAGCTTTCACAAAGTAGGTTTGAAGGGTCAAAGCAAATGTGAGCTTGCAAGTTTTCATAAATATTACTGAGTTGCTTTTCTAAATGATTTTAATGACTTCAGACTGACCTGAGAACCCATCCTACCCCACTGACTAGGTTGAATGCCAAGAAGCCTACAATGAAGAGATGAGATTTTTTTGCTTCTGTAGTGAAAATCTTCCACAAATAAGTAGAAAAGAGAAGTTATTTATTGAGAGGAACACAGTGTCTCTCCTCAGGGACCCAGAGAGAGTATAATTCAAAACTAGATTTCTTCTGGTTAATTTAGAATATATATTCAGTGGTTTGAGTAGAGAACATCATGTGATCATTTTTAAAAGTCATTTACTGTATGGCTATCCTTTCCACTTATAAACTATTTTTTTTTGGAAACTTGGTCAATATGATGACCTCCTTATGCCTATTTTCTATTATCCTCAAGTCATATCAATATTTGTGTGCACCTTACCCACATAAAATAATCATATAATAGTCTTTCTACCTATTCATAAAGATGAATAATTAGACACATTGTAACATTGAAATGTAACATTTCATTCTTGCTTCCTATTTTAATATTTCTACAAGAAATATAAAGGGTTCTACTCATTAAATCTATATCAAAGGAGTTGACAACACCCTTCATTTCTGCTCTGAGGGTGGTGGTAGGGATAATAAAGTAGTTAGAACACTTTCTATGAAGCAATCATTTATTTGATGAAAAACCCTTTTTTTCTTCATGTGTACTTCTGCCAAAAATGAAGGTGAAGGTGCAAATCTATTGGCGTTTCAAAAAGAGAGACATTTCAGGAGAAGAAGGCTGAAACCTTGTGGGTAATGATGCAGGACTTTTCTTCCCAGTCGCTTTGGAAACTGGCTGGCAATACCCCACTTGGGCCTCACTCAGCCATGCTGGCATGCCCCAGCTCACCTGTGTTATAGCTTGCACCTGCATTCATCAGTTTCTAGGCTTTTGTACCATGCCCAAGAAGAATAAGGAGACGATGGACACTGAATGTTGAGGATGGTGGAGAAGAATTTTATTGAGGGACAGAACAACTGTCAACAGAGAGGGGTTATAAGGGATGATTCCCCTACTCGAAGGCAGGAAAGCCACCTATGGTGGCTCAGTCTAGGGCCTTTTATGGACTCAGAATGAGAAGTGCATGCTGGTTTGTGAATATGCAAAAAAGGTTAAAGCAAAGACACCACTCAAAGGTGGGCATGACAGTGTAGAAAAACCAATTAAGAAAGGGTAGATTTATGTAAAATAGGTAAAGGGTGGGGACCAATCAGAGGAAGGCATGCCAAATGGCAAGACAAGTTCTCAATCTGGTCCGAGGGTTTAACTTGTATCTTTGCTTTCAGGCTTTAAATTGCCTCCTGTTTAGAGGTGGGTTTCACCGGTGACCCACCCCTATCTGCCTAGGCATTTGGCTGCCTCCTGTCACTATCAGTAATATCTGAATGCTGTATAATATTGTTTTCATTTGGGCATCAAACAGCCATCAGCAAAAGCCTTTGATTGGATCCCATCTCTTGATATCCTGAAATTTCCTTCTGATAGCTCTTAAAAGAACCAATTAAGTAAGGCTTATGTAAAACGAACAAATCAGCAAAGAAGCAAACAAAGGAAGCCAAATACAGAATGTCCTTTTAACCAGTCTCTAGTTGATTTTGTTCATTCATTGATTCTGTAAACCAATTTTTCTTAAGAAAAATTCTTTATAAAAATGTCTTAAGAGAGATAAATCTCAATGAAATAGTCTCTGCTCTTGAAGGATTTACAGTATATTGGTCATTAGATGCTAGAAGGTCACTATATTCAACCCTTTCCTCTTTTATTGCCTTTGTGCTAAACAAAATCCTGCATTTGCAAGATGTTTATGAAATTACAACAAGAAATTAGGTCTCATTAATCCTAAATTTGTATGTGTGTGTGTGTGTCTGTGTGTGTGTGTGTGAACCCAAGTAAATGCTGGGAATTTATACATTTGTGATGTTATGTGAGGAGATAGAAATAATCACTAGTAAATTTAATCATAGTTTAAAATTTTTATGTCATTCTGATGAATAGAAATTGTTAGTATGCTTCACACATAATAGCCTAATCATATCATTTCTGAGTCATACTCTCCATGGTGATTTTTAGTTAGAGTCATCATGGCTACTACGGCTGACAGTTGCCTAGTTTATGCCCATTCTTCTTTTCCTTTAGTAGAAAAAAAGCCCCAATTTTCTTAAGGGCAGTAATGTATCCAGTTAAAAAATCAATTTCCCAGTTTCTCTTTTGAATAAAGGTGGCTTGTGCCACACTGTTCTGACTAGTGACATGTAGGTAGACATCCTTGAGTAGGCTTTCTGTGAAAACTCTTTAAAAATGTGACTTAGTTAATAAAGACTTTTTGCTCTTCAGTGTCCTCCTTCCTTCTACCTAAAACCAGCCATGAGGCTAGAGAGGGAGCAGCTGTCTTGCAATTAAAGTTATAGCATGACTAGAAAAGCCAGGCCCTATGGAGGCCAAGCGGAAAGCTAGAGGGTGCCTGGGTCGCTGATGGCAATGTCTAGCGACCTTAACATTCCTCTCTTGGCCTATTTCTTTTCTGACTGCTACTTCAGAGAAGTAAACCTTGTCTTTGTTTAAGCCAATATTTTTTAGGTTTTCTACTACAGCATAACCCAATCCATATCCATGTAGTGGATAATTTGGCATTTTTCTCCACAACATATTTAAGCTTAGTGTTAGAAAATGTTAAATTATTTTTTTTTCTGTTTAGATCTGAAAAAGAAATTATGGAACTGTAATAATGGTGGCCATGAGTAACGTTTGACAAGAAAAATAATATCCTACAAGTAAAATAGAGTTATGATTTCCCTCCAGAAAATCCAGGCAAACAGCAACAAATAATATGAACAAATTTAAAAGTTTAATAACCCCCCTCACCAAAGAAGCTTAGAGATGGCTGATGTTGCAAGTAAACTTGAAATGGAAAGCAAATCACATATACAGCTTGTTTCAAATATAAAAGTTAATACTTTTTTTCTAATATATGCTTCTCAAAGAAAATAAGCAGAAAAAAAAGTGTCTATCATGAAAAGCTGCACATAATTTTGTTGAGTTTCAAGTGTTTTTTTTTCTTGAAGATTTTATCTTGAAGTTTTTTATCTTGCTTTTCATATAACTCGGATCATAAGATTATTCAAATGTGTATTTTATTTGTTTCATTTAAGTTAGTGACTTACTGTTTATGTTATCACAAAAATTTCATAAACAATTTTTCATCAGAACATGAAAAATAATTTAGTTGGACATTCCCTATTTTTAGATATTTAAGGTGTTTTGAATTTTATCAAGACATAAAAAGCACTGCTATTTATATGCACAGCATTTTTCCTGCAGAAAATATTATTTAAAAATTTTACTGCAGTAAAATTATTTAACTGTTTACAATTATTTCCGTTAGACTAGACTTTAGTAAAAGCATTGTTGGGTTGGAGGTTTTGAACATTGTTTAGAAGCTTCATGCATGTTGTCAAATTGCCAATAAGGAAGTCCGTACGGGTTGACCTACTCCCCTGCAGCATTCCAGAATGTGTCTTGTGATCTGTGATCTAGTATTATTTACTTTTTCTTTTTTAACATTTGCATCTTTTTGGTTTTTCACTAAACAAAAGAAAGCTAGAAATATTATTATTAATTTTAGAGACGGAGTTTTGCTCTGTCACCCAGGCTGGAGTGCGGTGGCGCAATTTTGGCTTACTGCAACCTCCACCTTCTGGGTTCTAGCAATTCTCCTGCGTCAACCTCCGAGTAGCTGGGACTGCTGGTGCACGCTGCTACGCCCAGCTAATTTTTTGTATTTCTAGTAAAGACGGGGTTTCACCATGTTGCTGAGGCGAATCTCAAACTCCTGAGCTCAGTTAATACACCGGCCTACGCCTGCCAAAGTGCTAGGATTACAGGCGTGGGCCACTGCACCCAGCCAATATTATTTTTAAAGAAAATACTGCTAATTATATATTTTAAAATGCTATTATGCTATATTACTTTACTATTTATTTTAATTTACTTTAAATATTTATGATGTTTTAATCACAAAAGTGATACATATTCTTAAACTTTACATAAATACAAAAATAAGTAAAAGAGCTATTTTTCCAAATACCAGCCTTCAATGCAATCAAAAGCCTAACAATATTCAAAACTGTTCAGTATGTGGCACACAGAGATAAGTAAACAAGAAGGCATTTGGGGATGTTTTTGTGATAAAAAAGTATTTTATTTTATATGCCATAATTATAAGAAAGATTAAAAAAGTATTAAATATGACATGAAATATTACTTTTGTATATTTCTAATAAAGTGTTTTCAGAAATTAGGAGAAGGAATTTGAGGTTATTTCTATAAGTAAGTGAAGTTTTCTAATATCAATTTCTATCCTTGAAACTTCAACATGCAATTTCTGATCAAGACATCTTAGGGATGTTCCATTCACATTTTTGATAGTAGTCATTAATAGAAAACTGGCCGGGCATGATGGCTCATGCCTATAATCCCAGCACTTTGGGATGCTATTATACATTGTTCTTTGTATCACAAACTCCAGGAACATGAAGATAACGGGCAAGGCAGCTAGTCAGGAACA